TGTGATTTAAACCATTTTGGAGCTGTTCCTGTAATCCCAACATCATATTCAAGCCTCTGTAGTAAAATATTGTGATCAACTGTATCAAATGCAGCACTGAGGTCTAACAGGACCAGTAGAGACACAAGTCCATTGTCTGAGGCCATGAGAATATCATTAGTTCTTTTACTAGTGCTGTTTCTGTGCTATGATGAGCTCTAAACCCTGACTGAAACTCTTCAAACAGATTATTTCTTTGTAGATGTTCACGCAACTGACCTGCAACTATTTTCTCTAGATGCTGGTGAAGATTCTCAGTCAGTTCTCACTAATTTTCAGGACCAGTGGGTTAGAAATTTGTCTAACAGGACATTGACACAACCTGAGAAAGACGTGCTGGCAAAAGGACTAAATTTTGCAATCTCCCCACAAGAAATACCTGTTGTGGAACTAATCACGGCCACTGAATCCGCGATTAGGAACAACAACTTGACGGAAGGAGAGGCAGAACAGCTCAGAATGGAAATATCAGCAACCCTCTCCAGTGCCAAACCGCCTCCTTCAAACCTCACACCACAGGAAAGGAAAGCTGTAACATCACTCAGCCAGGACCAAAACATCACCATTTTACCAGCTGATAAAGGAAGATGCACAGCAGTCCTCAACACTTCTGATTACCGGGAAAAAATAACTACACTACTGAGCGACCGTAACACCTACGAGACCCTGAAGAGGGACCCAACCAGTGCCTACAAAAAGAAAGTCACAGATTACCTGCAAAAACTTGGAAAGGAGAAAACAATCAATCGATTGTTGTATTATACATTGTACCCAGGGGAAGCCACTCCCTGTCTTTATGGACTTCCAAAAATACACAAAGAAGGAACACCACTCAGACCCATCGAAACGACTTCTGTTACAAATAAAGCCCAGTTGTTTTTGTATTGAACGCTTTTTTGAATTCCTCGGACTGAAGAATTCTTTTGGATGAAAGACGAAACGTTTCAAGAAGAAGAAATGATTCAAAGGACCTGACTTAACTTTGTTGAATCATTATCAACATATCAAACACACATTGA